ACATAATTATCCTTAGGGTGAAAAAATTACCCCTTCAGTTGCGCAAGAATTCATTCATTTATTTATTTATTTACAAATAATCTTTAGAAAATGAATGTTCAGAAATACTTTATGTTTTTTGTGCTTTTTTTCATTGTGCATTAATATTGGTGACATACATATCTTGAACCCTGTATTGGTGACACACATATCTTTAACCCTGTATTGCATAACCCTTTCACGTGATCCAAAACTATAAAATATTAAACTTTTTAAAAGGTGTTTTTAAGTTGTGAAAGCATAAATAATCTTTTAACGTCTACAGCTTTGTCTACCGCTTTAATCATTTCAATCTAACATCCAAAGCACTTTAAAGAACAGAAAATGCATGAATAACGAAGATCTTGCAGCTTTAGTTAATTCAATGGATCTTGAATATGTAAACTGGTTTTTCAAGGAGCAATATTTCTCGTCAATGGCAAAACACACTTAAAAACATCTAATTTATGTTAACTCCCCTCAAATCTACCTGGTTCGAGACCAATAATTTACTGCCTGTCAATCATTAAAAAAAACAGTAGCTTCTGATTTGATTGACAGGCCAGCTACGTGTGATAATTTGAGATTGTATGTTATGATCACAATTTACCTGGTTGCGCGTCAAACAAGTACAAGGTACCCGCCTTGTATACACGCGGGGTAAAAAAAAACCTTGTTAGTAAATTTATTTAAAAAAACAATATTAAGAGTAGAAACATGTACTTAAAACATGATTTTATTTAATATTTGTTTTCAATTTCAACGGCTGTATGGTAATTTTAAGCAATTTGTCGACCAAGATAACTGATGTCTGAATTTAGACCGTCTATGCACAGTTTAAAAACTCTATTTGCCGATTAAATTATAATAAATGGACTATAATAAATAAGAAAAGATATGTAGCACAATAGACATGCATAAAAAATCCTTTATCCCATGTTTTATCTATATATTTATGAATACAATCTTCAACATGTTGTAAATGTCAGACACACGAGTTTCAATATTGTAACTTTTAGTTCGAATTTCCTGACGTCTGTCAATATTCGAAATGAAAAAGTAAAGATAGTGAACAAAGATCAATTCTTAATTAAAAGAAATCTTGCAAACAATAGAATATTTCAGCACACGATCATTAAGAAATGGTGAATATTTTTGACACAACGTAAACAATAATCGTATGGCGGTGCATTGTATAAAACACTAGTTCGAATAATCTAATGTGTCTCGATACAAGCCCTCACCCCATTTAGAATACGTCCCATATACTTGCCATATGACAAATCGGAGCGGATCCGCTCCGAAACGATTTTGAAAAATATAAAAGGATTTGCACTGGAAATAACTACCAATTTAATCAAAACCTTTTTGAGATTGCTTATGACTTTTATCCCGAAAGATAATCCATTTAAAGACGAAAATCCAATTATATTTCTCAACGTTTTTCTCCCGCTTCAAATTTACCTGCCATGTTTACAATCGGAACTCTCTAGATTGTCTGAGTAAGAGTACGAGTTATCGCCTGTGTTTTCTTTGCTACATTACGAATACACAGAATGAATTCTATCGTTTAACCGGGTCCGTAGGACAATATCATTTTAACGATAGAACGTTCTATCTGATAAAACACATGGTAAAGGTTCATACTACGGATAGGCCTATACACTCTGTAAATGGAATATTTTAGGCGTATCGTTTTTTCACACGTATTAAAAAAAGATGTAATTACTTCAAATTGTAGTTTTATTCAGTTCTTTTCTTTAATTTTACTTCCTTTTTGTTTTGAATATAAAACGATATTTCTTTTTAATTTTTTTTCTTCAATAGATATCGATGAAAGTGTTTATAGATAAATTTTATATTGAAATATTTTAATTGTTTCAATTAGTTACACTCAAAGTTAGACACGAAGCATGGAATGTTGATATTGATTACCTAACACAAACTTTCTGTGTACTGCTACGTGTAAATAATTTTTTGACATCTTGAGTATTGAGGGTCTCCAGGTTCACAACATCACTGTTACATAGACCTCTCCCCCGCCTCAGGTAACCGTACGGTAAAAGTTAGGCTACAATACGAAAAACGTCATGATAAATTGATAAATGGTATCAATGCAAAACAGTCATAAATCTTAATCGTTTTGACACTTTTATGCCACCTAAATCATTATAATTTTTTTTAAATTTATTTAAATTATAATTTTTGTAAAATAAAAAAATGTTATGTATGTTATATTTTTTTTAAATGAAACATATATCCTCAACTTTAGAAGAAATACTGTTCTGAAACGTTCTGCACTAACAATTGTCAGATTTTAAAAACATTTTCATTGATGTGCACATGACATATTTGTATAAGATTACAATATTTTTTTTTATCTTTTCTTTAACAGACATAGGAATATAATAGCAAAACAATAAAATAGGAGAAACATAACGAGACGGTTGCTAAATATGATGTTTTCGTAAACTTAGATTAACTATTAAATGACTTAGTTGATCATTATAGTTTCATTCATTAAAATGCAAGTATTCAAATAAAGCATTATATTTGGATCAACGTAGATTTTGTAAATTTAAGACATTTTACTTAACGTTTTTGATATAATAGAGATATTATTTTTCACTTCATAATTGTCCAAATATTGGCATTTTTGCCCGCCTTGTTCACCCATCTCGTACCATTAAATCTGAGCAACGATGGGATCAAATACAAGAGAGATGTAAACCAAACTCCCAAACCCTGCCTACACTTCATACTGTTGTGTGCTTCTTATGGTCTGGCTCACAAAAAATCCGTGGAAAACTCAGTGTTGCAATTTTATACGAAAACCTTCATTCAGCAAATTAGAATGATAAAAATTCTACTAATATCAATGCAAAAAGAAAACTGTCAAAAATTCTTTTATCTGAAAAATTTATTAGAGCAATACATGTATCATAAATTTCGAAATTGGAATAATGAAACAAAAAATATTTTTAAAAAATTATGAAGTTAAATATAAATATTCATTTGCGGTTACAAATGTTTGTTTTCTTGATCAGAAGTTGTTGTTCTCAATTATATCAAAACTTACAGGTTTGTATTTATTATTTTTTTTTAAAATGTACGAGGGTTGTCCCAGAAAAACGAGAACAGTTTTAATATCTTTTGTTTCACTTACACTATAAACTTAAGTTAAAAATTGGTATACATCATTATCAACATTTTGTATTATTATATAGTCTATTTATAGTCCTTATATAATCTATACAAACGCAAACAGTTCATAACACTACTTATTATACCTCATTATAAATATTCTACACAACGCCTTATCTCATTGGTTCTAGGTTATCACGTGATAGGGCCGTAAAACTTTATATTTCCCGTCGTCGGCACGCATCATATTCCACCTCTTCGGAACACCTAGTGAATTTTCCTGCAATATAGTTCTCGTTCGTTGAACAAAAACTCCCGAGAGTAGTATACGTCACAATAGCCTGGTTGACGTCACAAAACTGATGACAATGTGTTGACCAAAGGGTTTTATAGTAACTTTACGTTAACAATGAAAGTGGATTTGAGAGCGGTGCCAAATTTGAAAGTCTACGTTTATTTCAAAGGCTTTGCTTGTTTCGGTAAACAATTAATAATAAACAATTCATTGCATGAATGTTCGGGAAACATGAAGACTTATTCAGCCAAGAAATATCATATTCCCCTCGGGCGAAGCCCTCGGAAAATATGATTTTCTTGGCTGAATAAGTCTTCATATTTCCTTCACTATCATGCAATAAATGTTTAATATTCACCGGATTTTAGGCCGCATTCACCGGAGGGCCAATGCGCGTGCAACGGCATTGTGACGTCTCAATTAAATACATCAAACAACGTTGTAAACAATGGTTGCAACGGCCGCAGCGAGCTACGTATCTGAGCAAAAAAACAATTATTCAAACCTATTTCAGGATTATTTTTTAACATCTGGACTTCTTACACATAGTGAAACTCGGAAAGGAAAACACAGATGTTACAATGATAATCTGGAGATTTTTTTTTCAACAATGAAAGATCGCAAATGAAAATGTTGTTGTCATACAGCCTTCAATGGTTTGTTATTCACCAGAAAAACGAATATGGTTTGTTATTCACCAGAAAAATATCCATATTGACGTCGCCTCGGTCAATATGAATATTTTTCTGGTGAATAACAAACCATATTCAATACAACAAAAGAGTCCATAATTGCATGATATTCAACGGATTTTAGGCCGTGTTCACCGGAGGGTCAATGCGCGTGCAACGGCATTGTGGCGTAAAATCGAAACATCGAACAATGTTGTAAACAATGGTTGCAACGGCCGCAGCGAGCTATGTATCTGAGCAGGAAAACAATTATTTAAACCTATTTCAGGATTATTCTTTAATATTTGGACGTCTTACACATAGCGAAACTCGGAAAGGAACAATGGAAGATCGCAAAAAAATGTTGTCGTCATACAGCCATCAATTCCTTATCTAATCAAATACCGACTATATAATAAAACAATTATGGACTCTTTTGGTGTTGTATATGGTTTGTTATTCACCAGAAAAATATACATATTGACCTCAGCTTTGTCTCGGTCAATGTGAATATTTTTCTGGTGAAGAACAAACCATATTCAACATCAAAAGAGTCCATAATTGTATAATAGTGCCTAAAACTTTCAATGAAATATCTCTATAAATAACATTTTTCTCTCCGATAAAATGTTCTAACATACTAAATATCTGCTGTCGGAGCACCACTGACAACGTAAAAACCTAGGGCGTAGTGTTTGTGAATTTGTTCTTGAATCTGTGTGTCAAATAAAATTCTTAAGAGCATAAATTCGGTATTGTATTTAATTTCTTTTAGTGTTCAGGTATCTTAAATCCTAGTGTTACCAAAGAATTGCGGATTTAATTCTTTTGAAACAAATTCACAATCCCGTTCATAAACCTAACTGATTATGATGGAATTGTTAAACAGCGGTCTTCACGTACGCCTCTTCACGTATGCCTGTGATGTTCTGCTCCTGTCTTTTTTGTTCGTTTTTATTTTCTCTTGTATCGGATAACCAGTCAAGTCAACCTCAAATCCTTTCAACTAAAGGTAAACCCGTTTTCTATAGTTTCCCGATGGCCAGGTCATCACAATTGGAGATGAACGATTCAGTTGCCCTGAAGCCAAGTTCCAACCTTCTTTCCTTGGAATGGAATCTGCTGGTATTCATGAAACAACATTCCACAGCATTATGAAATGCGACGTTGATATCTGTAAGGATTGTACGCTAACACAGTTTTGTCTGGTGGTTCAACCATGTACCCATGTATTGCTGACCGCATGCAGAAAGAAATCACTGCCTTGGCTCCGTCTACAATGAAGGTTAAGATCATCGCTCCACCTGAGAGGAAATACTCCGTCTGGATCGGTGGTTCTATTCTTGCCTCCCTCTCCACTTTCCAACAGATGTGGATCAGTAAGCAGGAATATGACGAATCTGGTCCTTCAATTGTGCATAGAAAATGCTTTTAGTATTTAGTTAAAACCTAACAATTTTTCTATTGCCCTTAATAATTTGCAAATCAAGAACATAGATAGTTTAACTTTTTTAGTATAATTTAATTATACACTGGATAAGTGGAAATTTTAACGAGTCGTAAATCTAGTGATTTGTCATTAAAAATGGGTATTTATATTTAGCAATAAGTAATTTTTGATTCAATAAAAAGCTCACACAAAGAGCGACTAAACTTAAATGCAATTAATTTTTAGCGATATTCAATTAAGTGATCTCAGCATCCTCGCTTATAATGCCAAAATAAATCATCTCCAAAATTTCGCTTATAGTATTTTTATTTTGTTCTTTCCATACTCTTATGCAACCTGTTAATAAAAAAAATCAAGAAATACTTTGTTTTTATTCTTTTATTGAAGACGAATCAAATTACAACAGTATATTGAAAAGAATTTTTTTTAGTTGTACCCGTATTTGTTAAATCAAATTTATAATCTAAAATGAATGTATATAAAAGATATAAAGCGAATGTTTAATATCTTTAGAGCAACTAACGTGGATAAGCGGTAGCAGTCTTTGTTCAACATTGACATATTAAGGAGTTGATCCTTACGCAGCGGAACTGAATCCCATTACTTGCTTTATGTGGATTCTGGCTATTGGTCGATGACCTTAAAACTCTAGGTATTGTGTCGCAGTCATGACACTCGGACATGAAAAAAATTCCTTAAGTGCCAAGTACAGGTCTAAAATCACAGGCAGATGGTGGTGTGTGAAAGTAAAAGGGAAAAATTCTCGAAGGGATGTTAAAGAAACAAACTTCATCCACTGATATTTTTTTTATGCAAGACTACTGAATATATTATATAAATATAAAACTTATCAAAAAAAAACTTATATACAGTGTACTGGAGTTCGGAAGTAATCTTAATTTTAAATTCTATAGAAAGAAAATGAGTGTATGTTCAATATCTGAAATTTGAAACCTTAAAAGGTTTAATCATTGAACACGTTGTAATTAGCATTAAGTCGATATATTCGTAAAAATTGCTTAGTTTATTAATGTTCTTAATTACATGAAGGATTTTACTTTTTCTATTAAGATTTAATGAAGAAGAAAAGACTTAAGCTTTTTTAAAGATGATTGGAAAACATTGGCGCTATATTTGAAGAGTTTACAAATCCCTAAGTCAAATTTCTTCTCGAAATATGTTGATTACCTAGAAAACTTTTCTATGAGAAAAAATTCACGAAAATGACTTTGTATTTGAAATTAACAATTATCAATAATTAGGTAATGGTTTCAGCAGAAATAAAAAAGCTGCAAATGTGATGACTCTAACACTTTGTTCTGTGTAAAATTGCAGACCTGAAACTCGTCAAAACATTAAGATTTAATTTTTAAAAATGATTTCTCCATAATAACTTAAACATGTCATTTTCATTTTGTTTCTTTCTTTGTCTTTTGAAATCATAGCTATTGCATTTATCAAGAAAAAATAAGGATCTCAAAAACAAAAGAGTTACATGGTACTTATTAAATAAATGTTTGTTTTTTTACTTGATACATACTAACCATTTAAAAAGAATGTGTTTCGTTGTCCTCTCCAGACTACTAGTAAAACTGGCCCGACTTAGAACTTTGTTTTTGAATTCCAGGTCACGATATTTCCCCCTTCTTATCCAATCAACAGATAATTTGAAATTTTCTGAAAAAAAAAAGATTTTCACATCAACCTACCAACACAGAAAATTTACTCTGCGTTTGAAGAGTGCAAGCAAACATTCTTAAAGATGTTCTAAAAAAAATCAGTTTTGTTATTTTTATATTGAAGATTACTGTTGTATACTTAGCATTCAAAATTACTTGATTAGAGAAAAAGGAGACCTCAGAAATTCTTTACTTATTTCCAAAGTATGAAAAATTACCCTTACGTTTAAGGTCAAGAAATAAAATTTAAAAAAAAGATCTTCAGAAATTGAGTTGAATTGAATGTTTTTCTTCCCTTTTTATTGTGCATTGGTGACAAACATATTTCGACCCTTGTATTACATAATTTTTTTGCGTGATCCCAAAGCAATAAATGTTTAAGTTTTAGGTGTTTTTCAATTGCGAAAGCACATATAAGCAATTAAAATCTAATAATGATATGTTGATTTCAATTAAACATCCAAGGCATTTTAAAGACCAGAAAATGCATGAGCGACGAAGACCTTGTGGCTTTAGTTAGCGACAATGGATCTTGAATATGTTAACCGGTTTTGCAGGGGGCAATATTCCCCGTCGCTTATGAGACACACTTGAAAGCCTATAATACGAAAAAAAGTCATCATAAATTGATAAACATGATCAATACAAAATAGTATAATAAGTCTATTAATCGTTTTACATTTTAATGCTACCTAAACCATTATTACTTTTAAATATAAATTTAAACTATTATTTTTATAAAATAAAAATATGTTATGTACATGTATGAAACACATTAATTTGATTATATATTTTTTAAAGATAAAACTTATGAATCCTCAGCTCTAGAAGAAACACTGTTCTAAAGCGTACTGTATGCATTCTCCAGTTTTTAAAAACAGTTTCATTGAAGTGCACAGGACATATTTGTATAAGATTTCTATGAAATCACATATTTTCGTGGTTTGAGGAAACCATATGGGTTCGTGTGGATTTGAATTCGTGGATGAAGAATTTTTTAAGTAGTCATGCATATGCAATTTTACATTTCGTGGTGGACATGAATTTGTAGGTCTCTCCATACCTCGAAAACAACGAAAATTACCTCCCACGAAAATTAGTGATTTCACAGTATTTGAATTTGTGGTTTCGGGTTAAGTCGAAATGCATATTTGAAATTTTTTACATTTCGTGGTGATCATGAATTCATAGGTCTCTCAATGCTTCGAAAACAACGAAAATAAAGCCCCCAAGGAAATTAGTGATTTGACATCATTGGGTCACCACTTACTATTGAAGGGCTGTATATCATTTCAGACATGTACACGGTACTTACAGGGCAAAGAGGAATCATTTTATGCCAGAACCGGATGCAACTTGGAACCCTGATGATTGTACGAATATACTATTTGCCCTTTTTCTGTCCGCGTAGTCTGCTCTGGAACTGAAATGTTAAATGCAATGCATTTGAATGCATGTTTTTAGAACATCAACTCTAACTTCAAATAGAATGACTTTATCTGTTGGGTGTGTATACTAAAAATATACTGGTAATTTTAAATTTACAAATGAATGTTTACATTTTGTTTATGTTTTTTTCAAATTGTTTTCCATAACATAAAGGTAAAAAGGGGTTAAAAACCCTGCAAGAGTTAATCACCTCATTTATTTAAAAAGTGGAGAGTATCAAAACAAACATAAAGTGTAGTAGCTGTGATGACAATATTTAAGCTCGAAAGAATATTAATATTGAAAATGCAGGTCAATTAGACAGTTTTAGACCTTTAAATAGAAGAAACATGTAATCAATCCTAGGCTTCATTTTGGGAATGTATTTGTTGATAAATATTGTGAAGGGCGGTGGGGGGGGGGGGAGGGGGGGGTTACACAGAAAAGGGCGAGAGAGAGTAAGATCATGTTTGCCGCCTAATTTTGGGTGTTTTTACGATTGATACAAAAGTTTATCAATAAACAGGGGGGGGGGGGGGGGCTGGTATGAAACATGGGAAACAATAAAATGAATCACGGATAAAAATAATCACAAAATGAAACTTAAAAGTGCACATCTTCTATAAGCTCTATTCCATGTATTTCATGATGATTTTGTACATATTTTTATTTCCGCAATTACGTAATTTTTCTAGATATATCACGTGATTTCTACCCATAGATTTATACCTTAAAAGGCAATTTTTTTCTGCTTGAGTGTTTGCTTTTTGGACCAAGGTAGAACCATTGTATATTTACTGATTAATCCAATTTAAACGAAAATAGTTGAGAAGCGAAAGCTCTTTCGAGATCGGTAAGATGGGTGACGAGGAAGACGTTGCGGCGTTAGTTATTGACAATGGATCTGGAATGTGTAAAGCTGGATTTGCCGGGGATGATGCCCCTAGAGCTGTGTTTCCCTCCATCGTGGGACGCCCTAGGCATCAGGTAAAAATTTTCCCTTTTATTAAAATTTTCAAATTATCAAACATTAATACTATCATATCATTTTTTCCACATCATACTATGCCTTAAGGTAAAAAAAATCGTTTGATGTGTTATTCAAGTAATAATTTGATATGCGATTATGAAAGGAGTAGGACATATACTATATTTAAAAAAAAAAACAAATTGGCGAATATTAGATTTAAAGTCTGGGGTAATTTAATACGCAGATGAATAAAACACCCGATATGTGTAGTTTAAATAAAGAAAAACAGGGTAAAATATTTAAATGGCAAAATGCATTACTTGCAGACGAAGTGTTTAACTACTGAAATTGATCAGACGTTTTAATGGTGCCTGAAAGTAAAGATTTGATTTTTATTTTTAAAAAATCGTTTATTTAGCTACGATCTACGACGCACATCAAATTCTGAGTTAAAAGCTATGTATTTTCAAACTCTAATTGATTATAAAATAACTCTTCTAAGAGATATATACGAAAGCCCTGGAGGGACATTGACTCACTTGTTATGACTTATTTGTTAACGTTGTGACATATTTATTATAAAGATTTTTTTTGTCAGCGATAACTAGGTGAAGAGTAGATATGGAGTATGTGAAGAAAATGAAAGGTTATTAGTTTGTATTTGTCAAAAGATGTTTAGAATAATGAAATGGTATAGATTGTTTTTGCACAAAGTCAGGGAGAATCTGATTAAAAAAATATCCTTTATCAAACGCTGTAAAATCAATTAAAGCGTGGATTCTATCAGCAACTGTAGCATATATATTTCTTTTATCTTCAAGTTGATATTATTCAGTCGTATAACGAAAAATCATTTTAACAAGATAATAAATTTCTCTTTAAAATTGATCAGTACGTTTAAGCATATTTCATTAAAACAAAGAAATTTACTCAAGGAGGTTCACAGGTGCTTGCTTTGTGTGTTTACCCTCAGATGTGCTCATGTCTAT